AGCTTAAAGCCCCTGATGGCTCTGGGCGCTGACTCTCACCAGTGGCTATGGATGAAGTCACAGGCGATTTTCAGCCAGTGCCGCAGCCAAATAGAATTTATTGGGAACATTTAAGTTGGCAGAACTGGGTGTTTGTGCAGAAGCCTAGACAGCAGGGCCCTTCCTTTTAGAATCTTTATATTGGTTGAGAGTTTCCCTCCAGCCCTCCCCAGCTGCCCTGTGTGGTGGTGAGTTCCTGGTGGTGAATACCCTGGAGCTAGATGTAACTGTTTAAAAACTAACAAGCGAAAAAATAAAAAAACTAACAAGCACCCATTTTCATACTAAAAAAAATTTATTCACAATAATCAAACTTTATTAATAATACATATATAATTTCTAACATGGCTCAAAAGTGAAACTCAAAAATTCCACATATTTAAAATCCATTTAAAACCAAATTGAGTTATTTCTGAATAAGAAGTTGCTGTTGAGTGGACTCATTTGACTTTTCTTAAAATTGATTGTATCTTGGTCCCTTAATAGTTACCAGAATTTCCAAAAACTGGTGTATATATAAATATAAGGTAGGGTTGCTTTTGGCCCAGCCACTGAGGCCTGCCACAGCTGCTAGGTTCAGTCCAGTTCAAGTTCTGGTTTACAAAAAAAAAAAAGGCATTTTTAAGAATTCAGTCACATTTCTTTTGTTAATTTCTTATTTCATCAAAACTAATAGAACCATTTTTATAAATGTAGAAAATAAGTTTTGGTTTACCCTAACCCTATCGTATTGCTCAGTAGCTTTATTGCTCCCATTTGCCTGTTTAGAGATAGCTATTGAGGTTTTGAGAGTGCTCACTGATTTTTGTTTTCATCCTTTCCATAAGCTCTACCCACAGTAGAACACAGAAGTTCTCTTTCTTTGCCCATCATAAGTGGTTTTGTGTTTGAATTTAAGGAAATAACCCTTCATTTTATGATTAATCAATAGTTAACTTTTATTAGTATTTTAGAGATTGCCATCTTAATTTTTTAATATATATATGTTTAACAAGATTTGTACGTTGTTTCTGTTCTGTAGAGAGGCTTATGTGTTAAATTTTCTGTTCCTTTAGGAATCTATTCGATGGTTAGAAGATGAAAAGGCTCTCCTTGAGATGACTGAAGAAGTAGACTATGATGTAGATTCATATGCAACACAACTTGAAGCTATTCTTGAGCAAAAAATAGACATTTTAACTGAGCTACGGGGTAATTCAATTTTCATTTTAAAGTTTGAAATCTCCTTCGTATTTGTATGTATATTGATGGAAAGATTTTATATTCAAAGAGACTTCTGCAGTAACACATATGGGCCAACATTCAATGATTTCTTTCCAGAGAGAGTCAAAGACAGATACTCTAAAACACATTGTTTCCATTTCTCTCTAGTCATCTTGATTTTTTTAAAGCCTTTTTTTACAAGAAAGACCTTCTATGATTAAGGAATATGTTCTAACAAATTAGTAGTAAATTATATATTAAGTGGAAAGTTTCTGCAAGATTTCCTTTTTAACTTTGCTTATGAAACGAAGTAGTTGAAATGACCACTGAAGTAGCACCTTGCATCTGTTGTTTACCTGTACATGCTCTTTCTGGCATTTTAATTAACTTCATCTGTGTATACCTTCTGATACACATTTCTTATCTGTCTTATATGTGCTAGCCTTAGGAATTCGGAGTCTTATTGTTTATATGCATGTGGGTGGATGTAAGATAGCCCATAATGTTTCCCAGGCTGTAGATCACTCCCAAAAGCCAACTGGAGAGTTTGAACCACCAATTTTTTTTTGTTAGCTGATGAATCCTTTACTACAGTGCCATCAGCGAACCAAAATTAACATAGAGAACTATAAAATATGCTAAAAAATAACATTGTTGTGTACCATTAATTTGGAGCTGACCCTCCAGTAAGTTTTCAGAGATAATCACACAGGAGGAGATTGTCCATCTTTCTCCCTAAGAGCAGCTGATGGGTCCGAACAGTGTACCTTTTGAGTGACTGTACAACTCCTTACCACAAAGCCACTACAGCTTTAAAAGAAACTAAGTCTATGGAAAGCCTGTAATGAAACTGCTGCTGAAGTGATTTCGTTTGTTTCTAAACAACAGAGAGCAAAACGAAATACATCGGGGTACTGCTGCAGGGGTGGGGAGAAGACTTGTCTTGATAAAACTCAAAAGTCATATACTGTATTGTAAATAATACATTATTTTTTTTTCTTCTTTACTTTTTCCCCCCAAGATAAAGTGAAATCTTTTCGTGCAGCTCTACAAGAAGAAGAACAAGCCAGCAAGCAAATCAACCCCAAGAGACCCCGCGCCCTTTAAC